ATATTGTTAATATTAAGAGTTTTACATATTTTTGATCATAACTTTTGATGTACTAAACCAATTTGGATGAAACAACCTCCATTGGATTCAGCTTACTAAGATGATTCTAACAAATACAAGATCATGTGATTCTGATCACGGGATCACGAGATCAGGATGATTTTGATGAAAGCACTAATTCTAATACATGTGACTTGATTTTGATTGACTCAAATTATTGTGCCAGAAATCTTACATTTCTTACAGATCTTACAGATATTACAGATCTTATAGATATTACAAATATTACAGATATTACATTTTTATTAGATTTATCATTTCTATTATTTCTATTATCCCTTAAACAGTAAGCATTTGCAGGCAAATTTGCCTGCAATTTTTTTATTTGCAGTATTATATATAAAATTTTACGAAATTTAAATCTTATACATTTAAATTTTTATTGTAACTAACTGTTCAATGCTACAAACAGCTCGAACTCTTACTTGCACTATTACATAAAAATTACATGATATATATGTGTTTGCAAATTACCTATTTTTAACTAATTCCTAGTTTTTTTGAAAATTTACTATTTATCTTTAATTTTCTCGGCGTATCTTGATTATAACTATAAGAAACCTTAATAAGAAATGTAGAATTCAACATAAAAATTAATTTTTCTTGTTCAAGTTTGCAACTCTAAAGTAAAACTTTGACTTTACATTTAAATAAAAAAAAAAATGTTTTCGTAAAATTTTGCTGTTTTGTGAAATTTTGCCATTTTTGTAAAATTTCGCCGTTTTTTTTTTTTTTTTTTTTTTTTTTTTTTTTTTTTAATTAATTCAAACCTCTTATTCCGAACCTTTTAAGCATTCTCCCCTTTTTTTTAATTGTATTAATTACTATCTTCTTTTCATATATGATAGTTTTTAAAACAATCGGCTCTATCCTTATTACAACATAAAGGTACATTGCATTTACTACAATAAACCTGAGATTGTGGTGGATTTTTGGATGCTTTTTCATTTTTTTTTTTTACCAAATACTTGCACCATACACAGCTAATTTTATCTTTTCTCCATTCAGGTAAATGTCCTTCCAGAGATAATCTTAATAAGAGAAGCTCGAACTTACTTGTTACATATTGTTTTCTAGAGGGATGAGTATCAATATTTTTAGCCAATTCTTCGGTTTGACTTTGGGTGTTTAGTTTTTTTGTTGAATTATTTTCCTCCATACCCGCACTAATTAGATCCCATACTAGCTGAATTCGAAAACCCTTCTGACTAATATTTTCGCTATTTTTTTTAAAAATCAAATATGAATTGATAATAGAAGTATCCAACAGCCAATAAAATAAGGGCATCCAAGTTCTTCTTACTGGCAATTGAATACCATAATACCCACGAAGCTGATCAGCTATATCTACCCCACCCATATGGTGGTTATAATCGTCAATCACACGAGAAATTGGTAGGGCTTTTTTGCTAGCAGTTCCAAAAACTGCCCGTACTTTTGTCACATTGGTGCTGATTTCTCGAGGTTGACGTCGAACTCTTTCAATTCTACATTCGTCTCCAGTAACTTCATGAATGGTAGTTAACATAGTTACTGGTCCATTGTCTATTCACAAAAGAGCCAGAACGCCACCAACTACTACTCCTGATAATGTATCCCAATCTAGTTTTTTATCTATTTTAAGTATTTTTAGAAATTTTGCACTATTTGTTCGAACAGTTCCACATGCTCCAAGATTATTATTGCAAAATGTTGAAAGAGATTGATAGATGAAAAATAATTGTCCATATATATGTTAAAAGATTTATTTAAAGGTAATTGAGAAGCGAGATAATAAACCTTATTTCCGACTTTATTTAAGTTAGGAATTTCTTCTATTTCTGGATTATTTTGAACTCATGAAGTAAACATAAAAGCATACGTATAGACTGCATCACAAAGAGAAAGAATTTTGTATCCTTCTGGTGTAGGTTTATTTTTAATCCTAACTGTATGCATACTTTGACCCGCAAATCGCACAATCATTTCATCAATTGATACATTAGATGACAGAATACAAATTGATTTAGAAATTGTTTGTATATGACTTGTCAACAGATCTAATTTAGAATACCAATGTAAAGGGGGAATAGTACAGTCTGAAATATGCATAAAACGCTTAATCTAAAAAAAAAAAAAAAAGAAAGAAAAAACCTGAATTTTTAAAATTTCATATCAAATTGACAAATATTTATTAAGAGAACATACTTGTTCAAAATGAAGTAAAGTCATAAAAGTCACTATCTTATGTTCTGGAAATCTACTATCCACATTCCAATAATCTCTAATACTAGGTAACTTAAAAATACCAGTATATATTAATATTGCCAACCAAATTTTGAATTCTTCTATTGTTAAATCCTTCTATTCGCGTCCCTCTCCTGCATCTTTTAAGCAAGCATACTTATTAGTATTCTGAACTATCATACTTAATTGTTCAGATAAAAAAAAAGTACTAAACATTAAATAAGGCAATGATAAAGAAATTCATATCTTGTAAGTAAGTGTAATGTTAATTCATGCATTAGTTTTAAATGCTAAAATGTATTAAAATATGGGAGGGAAGAGAGCTTCTGAATTTCAGTTTGACTATGACCTTGGCCATGGCCATGACCACAGCTATGACCATGACCATGACTACGGCCATGACTACGACCATGGTCATGACCACGGCCATATCCATAATTTTGGTTTTCATCACTACTTTTATCTTGAATTTCTTGAATTTCTTGAATTTCTTGAATATTTCTATCTTGAATATCATAATCTTCATTATCATCAAATTCATTTTGCTCATGATTTTCATGAATACAACATGATAGCTCTACAAAAAACATATTATCATTGTCCTCTGTAATATACACATCGTCATCATCCTGTTCATTAAACATTGAAGTTTCTATCATAAAAAAATTTAATGAAAAAAAAATCAATCTAATGAAAAAAATCCAATTATTTATTTAAAATATCATATGGTGCAAGAAATCTAAAACCACAAACTCCATATAGAGACAAATATAAACAAGTTACAGTGTTTCCTAAACTATTAGCATCAATAAAGTGCATACATAACAATAAAAATACTATTAAAGTCAATAATTTAAGAAATATTTGGTTTTAATGTGTTACTTGATTATGCACTGCGCAGACCACCTCCCAGAGTAATGTATAATTAAGTAGTCATAAATAAGTAGTACAAATATTTATTAAATTAGTGATTTCAATAAAGTATTTATGTGTATACTTTATTGATGCCAATAATTTAAAAAATATCATGTCTTTATAAGGAGACTATAGTCTTGTATTGTATGTAAGAAAAGCTTTAAAGGGTTAGTATCACTTTTTTTTAAATATATAGGGCATAATTAACCGATCAAATATGTTAGTCGAATGTTGATAAATGTCTGCCTAGAACCGAAAAATGATTGGTCAATTTTTGTAAAAAAATATGAAATGATCTATGTCTAAATTTGGAAATTGCAGGCAAATTTGTCTGCAAAACTGTTTAAGAGATATATACTATATCTATTATATATATCATTTCTATTATATCTATTAGTTTTTATTACTATAAATAACATTTATTAGC